TTCAGCTGGATTTAGATCTGAAACAAATGAACACACAAAAACCTTATTCTGCTGACTTATTAGTGTTTAGTCCTTAATCCCATAGAAGGCCATCTGGTAAGATTATGCAAACTATCAGCTCCAATTTTATAGAGGAAACTAATATTTAACCCCTCAGGAAAAAGTGGTTGTATAAAGTATTAACAACCGAGGTATTTGCAACTGGGCATCAAGGACTTTGTAAAAAATATTTTTTTATATGAAAATTCCCTTCCATCCTTTTAGGCAAAGTCTGTTGAAGAGAAGCGTCTGTGGTCCCACCATATTAAGCGGCTCATTCTTGAGAATCACAACACCTTATTACCACCGAAGGTAAACCTCCTTCTACAGAGCATTTCTTCCCCATCTATGAAAGAAAAGTTTAACTTGTACCTTCTGTCTTTGAAGGCAAAAGACACCATTGTGGACAACCTGAACTGTAAGTGTTGCTAATGGAGCATCCCTAGTTCAGTTAGGGATCATTTAACTGTTGCTACAGCAACCACAGATGCAGCTAATAAACCAGAGTTGTTGCTCATGTCCTGTGAATATTTAAAGCTTGTTCATTTTTAATTCACCCAAGACTTTTTGGCTTACACTCTCCAAGTGGAGAAATTTGTTGTTGTTTTTGTAGCTATGAGTGTAATAATGTATTTCTCAGATTCTGGAAAGAATAGTCTAGAGAGGATGATGAAAGCAGACTGCCTCCAGAGTGACAGCCCTCATCTTAAAGGACGAAATGGGAGGAGGAGATCTGGTTTGTTTAGTTATATCCATCTCTTAATGAACAACACTCAAAAATAACTGATTATTAGCTTAACACCTTTTGGAGTTTATTAATGCCCTTTTATTTTTCTATTATTTCAGAACCAGCTAAACAGATCATAAAGAGCACCACTGGTGAGCATCTTTTCTTAATTTTATTTTGTTTGTTTAAAATTAGTATTTTGCAGCGTTTTTACAGCCAGATTCATGAACACAGCTTTATGTTCTCCCTTATTGAGTGTGCAGTCCAGTTAAACATCAGCTTCCAGCCAGCGAGGTTATTTTGCTGGCTGAGAGCTGCTGTTCACATCTCTATTGAACTCCTGCTTTGTTCTCCTTCAAAGAAACCTGGAAAACATTTCAACGGGCACGCACACTCGCTCCCACTCCACCTTGCCCATAATGAAGTTAATTATATGTCGCTTCGGCCGAGGCCTTTTGTCACACGGAAGCTCTTTTTCGGCTCTCAAATTGGGCCCTGCCCGTCAGATCTGTGTCTTCCGTTTTCATTGATTGGTCATTAGAGCAGAAAACATTTGTATTCCCATTCTCCGGTCTTTCTTGCTCCCTGTCCAGGATAGTTTCTCCAGACGATGTAATGAACAAGCCATTTTCATGTCAAACCTTCTCATATGGGTAAGGAAGTAGCTCATCACTTCCTGGCTAATTACATCATGTCCCGTTAAAGCCTCAGAGAACAAGATGCTACTTATCGGTATTTACCTAATCACAGGGCCTCCCTAGAGTCTGAAGCAGACTAATGGCTGCCTGGATGTGGAAGCAGAGATTGTCTCTTTATCCCTAAATGCATTAAAGGATCTACATTTTATTGAACATGATATCTGACCTATTATTGATATTCTTGTTTGTTTTTTCTCGGTGCCTTCACCTCCATCTTTGTTCATTGTGCAGCTGTTTTGAAGGTAAGTTAAGGCTATTAAAATCGACTATTACTAATCCTTGGTACACTTTTGCAAGAAGTAGCAATGCAGTTTAACTAAAGTTACTTAAACTTAACACCTACAGTTTATATACTGTAAAAAAGTCTAGACATCCTGTTTCTGTGATTTTATGAAATGAGACCAGAATTGTTTTTTTAAAGCTCCTTTTCACCTTTAATGTCACATATATTCAATAGAATGCAACACCTTGCTGCAGAGATCTGCAAAGTCTTAAAGTAGTAGTTTGTTGAAGAATCATTGGATGGAAGTCTGCAGCATTCAGCACTGTTCAGTTCACCCATGCTGTCTGCCCTGGATAATCAGACAAGTTTGACAGAAAATTCAGATTTGCCGGAGCGAGTTTGTTAACATATTCAAATTAAATCAGCAGTTTGCAGTCAGATTACAAAGCATCTGTACTAAGGTTTTAGTTAGGGGAAGTGTTTAAAACAAAATCCACATATTGGCTATACATCAATGCAGATTAAAGACAAAATTAGCAACTCGAGAAAATAGCTCCAGGGAGGGGGAACCAGGTTACTTTGTGAATGGTGGACGCCTGTTATCAATGTTAACTGTTATTTTGTGCTAAACGTACTGTTTGAAATCTCCGCAAAAATTTCCAGTTTGGTTTCAGTCGACAGTAGCACATTTTTCCACACTGTTTGTGGAGATTTTAGCCAGATCTGGATGCATGTCGGGCTTCTGTTGTGCAATGATATGGAGCAGGTTGCTTAACATTCTCTACAGACCAGTAATTCCTGCTGCTGTTTTAGTGTTGCTTTCAGCCTCTTGGAGGCGTCGCTGACTAGTTCCCATCTGGTCTTTTTTATTGATTTTTCAAAAATTTTCCAGTTCTTGTCAGTGTAAGCCTATGCACTATTTCAATTGCAGAATTTGGGGTAAGAATAATGTGGGTTTTTTGTCTACTGTTTAATTTGGGGGAAAGATAGATCAGTGTAGTTTAGTTGTTTTTTTGCTAAAGTTTGCAGATATACAGATCCAAATATTAGGGCAACTGAATATTATTCACCGAAGTGGATAGTAGGTATTTATCTAGCAGCACCTTTTGGATAAACACCCAACATTCACTCAAAATGTGTGAAAACAAGGGGGGTGGACTTCTTTTTTTTTGCCAGTGAAAGCCTGGTTTCATTGTCGTTTACATTTTAAAGAATTGATTCATACATATTTAATGTCCACTCTAGTTTTGCATTTGAAAACATTCCTAATGCTGCATCCAGGCTGAGACCTCCCAGATCGTACCCTCTGTTCTTAGCCTGCAGAAATCAGATTTCACCTGCTGCTGATAGACGACACATCTTTACTATTTCCAGCCTTGCAGTCATTTGGCTCTAGCACATGCCTTGCAATAACAAACCACATGTCTATGACTTCACACTACAGCATGCAGACAGTGAAGGCACACTGCTGGGGGATAGGAGCTCCCTGCAGCCCGCTTCTAGTGTCAGCACACTGAGCCCCTGTCTAGATGAGCCCCAGGGTGAGAGGCCGGGTGTGGAGGATCTGAGGAACTCTCTGGAGCGGCTAAATGCGGCTGACATTGACTCTTCACCCAGAGAGGGAGAGGTGGGGCTGCAGCAGGAGAATGCTATAGAAGAGGGGGAGAGTTTCAAAGAGGATGTGCTGATGGGGGACGACCAGGTAGCCGACTTTGCCAGCTCGGTGCTGGCAGCCATCTCCTGCTGGCACTTTAGAGCCAGGGCTTTGCTTTCTACTCACTTCACAACGGTGAGGGTTTCTTCCACCTACGGGTCGCCCATTTCCTGCTCCATCCCAATGGCTAACCAAAACTAATACATCGCTCTGTCTCCCACACTGGCTCTCATCCTCCATCCCTCTTATTCCTCCTTTATAATCCACGTAATAAACACCTTGCCTTGATGCCTAATTATACATAAATGGCATTCAAAAAAAAAAATGCATGTTGTTTTTTTCTTTTATATTTTAAATCATACCAGTTTGCATCTTATTTTACATTTTTTATTGCATGTGTTTTATGTGTTGTTGCTTGCATTTATTAGCTATTTATGGTAGGATGACTTCCATTGTTAAGATCATGTTTGCATTTGCATGAGAGTTAATATCTTGATATTCTCTGTTAAATTGTGTTTGACTTCAAAGGTTAATGAAGCCATCTCATTAAAGCTAATCAGAATAGCAGGGAGTTTTTCCCCCCTTAATAACCATATTACTGAATATTTTGCCTCTAAATGTCTTTTCTGTTGGAGGTTAACTGCTATAGCCTCTCTGTTTTCTAAATAGGAATGAATAAACATTGTTTAAACAGAAGACCTTCAATTCAATGTAGATTTTGCATTATTATGTAATATTTATGTTTTATAAATATTTATAAACCAGTTGGTCTCATATTCTATCGTTGTCAGTCTGAAGGAGGAACTCTGCACCTTTTAAATCAAGCAAAGATAAACAATCAGGGCATATTTCAGATGACTTTTGTATATTATTCAGGAATATAAATTTATTTAGATTTAAAATGATCAAATGAAGAAACTAGCAATCACTGATTAAATGGATTATAAAATTAATTATCATTCAACCTAAAATCTACAATGCACTGATTAACAAAGCCACACACAGAAATGCTAAACCTATTACACTGATTAAAAGAGGTAATTTGAGCTACAGTATGAATGATTATTTTAAATATTAAACGGATTAAGATCCAATATTTATTTAGAGTACATCTGTCCCTCAATAGCCAGATGGAAAAAAAGTGTTTTAATGGTTCTGGTTCTTGCTTTGATCTTGGAGGAGAACTGGACCAAGACGAGTTACAGTTGTCCCCTTATTACTCTCACAGAACAAGTTCCACAACCACCTAAAATGAGTTTCTGTTTTTTCTTTCCTATTTGTGTTTTATAAAAAAAATTCCAACCATTTACTGCTGGAGCCAAACTGTTCAATGATAGTTTTTACAGTTATCTTAACAAGTAATCATCACACTGAATAAAAGAATAACATTTAAGTTGTAATGCAGTTAAAGTTAAAACTACTTTAGACATTTGATTTTATACTTAAAGGCTTTTTAGATTTATAAACTGAATAAAAGCCAATGTGCATAAGATAAACTTTAACAGAAATTGATAGGTTCTGAATTTTTCTTTTACAAATTAAAAGTAATTTGCTTTTGATGCTTTAAAACCTGACATATCAGAGATAAGAGGTTATTTTAAAGGAAGGAATCACCACACAAGGAGGGCTTATATGCATGTTAAAATATTCTAAAGATGGATTCTTACTAGTAATGCGTTGCCTGCTTTTTATAATTTTCTACTAACGACGTTACTGCCTGACACTGATTGACTTTGTGTAATATGTGAATTTTTTAAATGACTGTAATCAGTACCCAACTAACTTAAGCCAGAAAAAAACAACTTTTAAAAAATTGCACAAAAATGTTCTAAACCCAATTGTTGTGACTTTATGTCATGATACATTATTAAAGCATGTTTTTGTTTTAAACATTTTATTAGTATGTTTGAAAAATGTTCTACAGTATCTAAAAAAAAAAAATAAAAAAGTATGATACATAAATTGAAAATATTTATACATGGTAATGAGACTAAGTAAAAAGAAGCTGAAATACCCCTAAAATTGGCAGCTTATGAGAAACGGATAAAATAAAACGGTATCTAAAATGGCAGCTATATGATCATGTTGCAACCAGACTCAAACATCCTGAGGGGCCCATTCAGAACTGACATTTATGATAGATATGATGGGCAAAGAACATAAGGAGGTCTGGAAACAATAAAATGTATTCTGAATAGAATAGGGTGTCAGTGGAGAGACTTTCCACATTTCGTCTTTCTGATTACCATTGTCTCAGTTAACTCGGTGAAATATTTTTAAATTAGGCTGAAACAATTAATCAGATTAATTGTGATTAATCAATTATTGAACTAATCATCAACTTATTTAATAATCAAATTAATTAGAGTATAGAGACTGTAAAACATGCCTTTAGCTGACAGAGCGACCCATATAGTGCAGTAATTATGCATTTTAGATAAAAAAAAAAAAACTTGTTCTTCTGTCAGTATGCTCTATCCAGAACTCCTCAAGTGAAAAAGGTTTTAGTTTCAACTGCTTTAATTTTGCAAAACGTCTTCTTTAACGAACCTTTTGCTATCCGATTTTAATCGATTCATAGAAAAAATAATCTACAGATTAACTGTCCTTTATCCTTTTGTAAAATTCAACCAATATATATATTTTGGTTGAAGAAATCAAGGTCAATTTATTATCATATGTGGAAAAAAAATAACAAAAGTTCTTATATAAAAAATTCATTAAAAAAAAACAAAAAAAAAAACTGCTAATCCGCTTAGCTCCTGGGGGTAAGACTTTTTTTGTCAATATAAACCCCTTAGATCATTAATGCTGATACAGGCACTTTTTTACTCTTTTAGTTCTTTTATTCATTTTAATTTACAGTAATTAAAATGTCATCCAAGGGCTCATCTAAATGGTCAAATGCCTAAATGTCATGTAGAGCCAGATAGCAGTATCTCTGCTGAATGGCTGGATATAGAACTTGTGCTTCTAGAACTCACTGACGGATGGGAGGGTATTCCATTCGATAGGTGGTAGATGGAAGTGACCAAAAATGGTACTTTAACCTAAAGTTTTTTTTAGATCTGTTAATTCACCAATTCATTATATCAAGAAACAGATTTTTAAATAAAAAAGCCCTCCTCTTTTTTGTATTATTTTAACATTTTTTTTTTTTTTCAAGTTTTTCTACTAATTATGTTGAAACTGTAGAAAGTTGTTTGTCATTCATTCCTTGACATCTAAGATTAAGTCATAAAGCTTATAAAATGTTGACCTTGGCTAAAAAGACTTGTGACATAATCCTGTGGTTTGTCCTTTTTCAGGATGATCAGAATGAGGAGCTAAATGTGGCACTGATGGAGGAGGCTGAAACCTGCAGAGGGGAGGAAAACAATGAGGATATCTCTGTGAAACAAACTGTCGGCGCTCAGGTGCTCACAAAAGACCAATATAACATTTATGCCTGCATCCTTTTAACCTCATTTCCACACCAAATATCTAAGGCCACATTTATCACACATTCACTCTATTAAAGATTTTCCCCACAGTTGTTACTGAGCTCATTTAAAAAAAATCTTTCACTATTTTTATTGTTATTTCTTTGCATTCATGCCAGATGATTCAGCACCACATTAATGTAAAAATTGAATTCCTACCGAATACATGCCCTTTATTGTGAGCAGAGTTGAATCATCCCTAAATGTTGTAGATTTATTATGCTGGAAATGAAAGCACCTCATGGAAAGTGCTGTGCAGTGGTCAGCTCTCCTCTGCAGCTTCTGCATCTGAACTGAGTGAAAATTATCTCTGGCAAACGGCTCCAAGCTGCAATTTCTTATTTTCATTTTATTTATTTATTTGTTGGTTTTATTTACAGGAGCTCCAGATTAGCAGGCAACACCTGGATACAGATTTAAAATAACAGTTTAGGGTAACATCAGCAAGACTTAGACTTAGGCTTAGACAAACTTTATTGTCATTTTTTGCACACGAAGTGTATACAAAACAAAATTTCGATACCTACAGCTTTTTCGACAGTGAATGAGCAGCATTGCAGTGAAAATGAACCATTTGTAAAGTTTCAGTGTAGTGCAAAAATAAACAAATAGATATGGTTCAAAATGCAGTAGAAACACTGAGTTAAGTTCTGTTTTGTAGATTCACCATATAGTGCAAGTATGATTTTATCAGTGCGATGCAGATTCTTGATTAGGTCTTGATTCGAGTTTCAACAGTTCAACAGTCTTATGGCAGCAGGGAAGAAACTCTGGCAAAACCTGCTGGTCCTGCATCGAATGCTGTGAAGCTTCTTCCCAGAGGGCAGCAGGGAGTACAGTCCATGGTGTGGGTGTGAGGGGTCACTGGTGAAACAATAAAAAGAGAAAGATGAAAACCTCTCAGCCTAACGAGCGAAGAATAATCCAGAGTCTTTATAGTCATTAGGAAATAAACATTTTGCTTAAAGGTTACACATTATATGTGGACAAACTCAAAAGCAATTGCAGTAACACACTAGGTACAGTAAGGTGTAGTATGGATGTAAAGCGCACCCAGTCTGAGATAAAAATGAACATGGATGCATGGAGGGTGGATGTGTGATTTTTGAAGCCAATAGAGGTTTTCTTCCTCTGGTTACATCAGGAGACACTGTTTTTGAGACTTGAGCTACTTTTTGGGTACTGAGTCATAGGAAGGGCTACTACCAATACTGATTTATGAACTGGAAGACTTAGCATTCACTTAAACTTCATATGCGATAAACATATTTTTTAATGTTTCTGTAACTTCTAATTTTGTTTTAGATATTTTCATTTTGAAATCTCTATAAATGCTTAAATGCTCTCCATCATTAATATGATGAAATGCTCTATGAAAGTTTAAAAAGAAGAGCAACACATGAAAATAAAATTTCAAACTTAGCCTACCGGTGAGTTGTGCTGTTTTCAGAAGACTCTAAGGATGCCCCATGTGATTTCACGAGTCTCAGTTTGAACTAAAAAAGAACAAGTCCAATAAAATATTCATAATAAATAGGAAATTGGTAGAGTCACAATGCTTGAGCTTCACGTGATCACAGAAAGGCTGTAAAATATACAAATAAATCGAACACATTCATATATTGGCCGATGTTCAGAGACTGTTTCTAAGTCTACTGGTAATGCAGTTAATGTTTTAACAATGAGTTTCAGAGGAATAGTTCAAACTGTCCAAGCAGAGCCGAATGCAAACAGCCATACAGGTTGTTTTTGTTAGAAATTACACTGAGAAAAGCACACTGCACAATTCAGATGTCTTGAAACTGTTCAAATTTTTGTTTCTTTAGAACAGCAAATGTGTTTTCATCGGATTTTATGGAGATAGGGCACAAGTTTGAATTGGGAAGAACATAATGAAAGTTTTCTGCATTTTTTTTTTGTTGATAAAATGAATTTTTATGTTTTTTTGTCTTTTTTTTCCAAAAATATTCTAGTTAGGTTATCAGAACATTTAATTTCCCATTTAAAAACCTGTTTTTTTTTGTTTTTTAACCAGTTGTTTTAGGTGTTTATAGCTGTAGGCAGAACCAGGCTTTCTGCCATTGCTGCAAAAAAAAAAACATCCCCGCTGCATGATTCTCCCATCACCATGTTTTCGCATTGGGACGGTGTATTCTAGATTATGTGCAGTGTCTGTGGTCTGTTCCATTCTAGTTGAACCTAGTCTGATAGTAAAACTCTCCTTAACCAAATTGTCCGTTTAGGTTGATGGCTGGAAGGTTTGCAGACCCGTTCCACTCTGTTCATTATCTGAAGATTGCTACAATATGCTCAAAGCTTATTAAATTTCCAAACCCTATTTTAAGCTTCTCCACAACTGTATTTGTAGCCTGTCCTCTTTGTTTTTGTACCTGATAAAGATGTCTGTTCCACCAACAAACCTTTGACACCTTCACAGAACAACCATTTTTTTTACTAAGATCTGGTAGTGATATTGGGGGATATAAAGGGTCAGTAAAGGGGTGTAAATGCAGATGCCTGCCACAGTTTTCTGCTATTCTTATTTGTAGAGAGAAAAAAAGTCATGTTCTTTCCAAAATTAGTTGTTTTTTGTGTCAGTCTGTCTCTTAAAATCCCTGTTAAATATTTAGATGTTTTTATCTCATTGTGACATACATTGGAGTTCAGATAAAATTCATGCAGCAGAAAACGTTAAAATTAAAAGGGTTTTATGAACTATTAAGCTAATGGGGGATGGAAAGAGTCATTAAAACAGGCCTTTTCTCTTTAGATAATACTGTAATCTTTTTTTTTTTAGGTCGATGCACAGCAGCTGTGTCATCAAGTCTGTGTCCAACAAGAGGAATCAATCGACCAGCTGGAGGTGGACACCTCGCAGGGCTTTGAGTCCACAAAGTCCTCTGAGCAAGAAACAGAGACCCCAGAATCTTTGGATACCTCCAGAGAAACTGGAGTGGAGGAGGAGGGAGAGAGCGACTCTTCAGGTCTTCAGATGGAGGAAATGAGTGTGCTGACAAACAGTGAGCTCTCCGAGGAGGAAGAGGAGGCGTTTTCAGATAATCAAAGCATTCAGCCTTCCTCTGAGCTGGACAAGACTGAGTACGTCATCAGCAGTTTGTCCCGGCAGAGCAGTCTGGTTTCTGAGGACCAGAGTCCAACCCTATTAATAAAACAACCATTTCAAAACCTCCCATCCTGCTTGGATGTGGAGAAACAGACGCAGAACATGTTAGATAGCTCTATACCAGAACCCCAAAACGCCTCACAGTCTGAACCGTCCGATACTGAGCCTGATTTGAGTCAAGAAGAACGCAGGTCCACTCTATCTAAAAAAGATCGCCTGCTTATCCATAAGATCAGGCGTTACTATGAACATGCTGAGCACCAAGATGCTAACTTCAGCATCAAGCGCAGGGAGAGTCTGTCCTACATTCCAGCTGGGCTGGTAAGACATCTGAGTAAACAGCTGAGTGATGTCCCAAAGGAGAAAGTGGGTCCGATAACCAGGAAGAGCCTCTCTCGAAACAGACCTACTTCTTGGTCAGTCTTTGATCTTCCAAGGTTAGAAAAGGGTAAAAAAAGTGAACCTCAAAGCTCAGTTGAAGCCAAAGTTCGATCTAATAGCTTCACTGAATCGCTTGGTGCAGAAGAAGAGTTTAGGCCTTCGTCTGAAATGCTGAAAGTTTGGGAAGTTATGGAAAGTGAGGAGGAGATCCAGGAAGTAAAACAGGCCGCAGAAGACAACCAAAAAGTTCAGATAAGCTTAGACAATTTGCAGGTCGAAACCAGCGATCAACCATCGCTGATAGAAGAAGAGCCTGAAACAAGCGCTGCTACAGAAACATGCTCAGGATCAACACCAACACCTTCCAACAGTCTCCCCACAGAACAGTGTGGTTCTGCTCAGGACCGGAGCCCTTGTCAGTCCCCGGAGAGCGAAAACTTCCACCCCAGCCATTTACCAAAGAGCATTAGCTTCCAAACCACCATAGATGAAGACCAGATCCTGCAGGACATGGGGAGGATGAAAAGCAAGGTGTTCAAACTGGCTCGTCAGTACAGTCAGCGCATTAAAAACAACAGGCCGATGGTGTGGCAGAGGAGCCGACTCAACGCAAACCAGGAAGGTGGAACCGCTGTCCACGAGGACACGCTGAGGAAAACGGGTAAACAGAACCTTATCGACATATTAGACAACTTCAGAGGTATTCATACATCCTGAACTTCCTCACATTTTGTCACACAGGAAAAAAAAACAAAAACAGATCAAATGTTTGCCACATTCATATGTGTAATATTTGTCTATTTTCTGCAGCCCATCAGACTGAATACTTTGTAGACTTATTTCTTGTTGCTGTTAAACCTACGGATAGTTTGGGTTGTGTCTCTAACGACGTTGCATGTCTAGATGCTGAAATGTTTATACATTCCTAAACTCCATTAGATTGGATCAAGAGCATCTGTTAGCCTCAGTTTTAAAGTTGAATGTTAACTTTCTATGATTTAATCTGATGTTTTGTTGCTTTGGATTCATGTTTATGGTTGTTTTCCTAATGAAAGGTGAACCTCTGATTATTTCCTTAGCTATAAACTCCTTCCTGCCTACTTCTCCATTCTTCCCTGTCCTGGAGGAGGACTGTGCATTAAAACAGGAGGAAGCTTTTTTAGCATACTGTAGGATGATGTCTTCAACGTTTTTTTTTTTTTTTTTTTACCACATATTCACTTTAACAAGACAGTTTTTGTTTATTTACTGAGGTTCTCTAATGAAACACTAACGAAGGAGAAAAGAGTTCCTGTTGTGACAAAATGTGAAAAAGTTAAAGGTATATGAATGCTTACTGAAAGCTATGCATTCCTCATGCAGAATCCTGCCTCTAGTTCTTTCTAATTAGAAAACCAATGTAAAACCCTTGTATTTTGTCTGTTTTTTGTTTGGCATTTTTTTGCAGGCAAACCTAACTTAAGGTTGCATTTGAACCATTGTGACCAGGAGATCATCAGTGAGGTTTGTTCTCCAAGTTCAGACCAGCTAGCAGCCTCACCAGGAAGCTCCCAGGCTTCCTTAACATCCCCACACAGTCCTCAGTCCGAGACCTTCCACTGGCCTCACGTCCAGGAGCTGCGTTCCAAATACTCGCACATCTCCCACTCTCTAAAAACCAACTGCAGCTGCACAGAACCAGAAAGGATAAAGAGCCGCACCTCTCATAAGTACAGAAGCTCCTCAGATCTCCATATAGCTTCTACAGACTGCAGTGAGAGCTGTCTAGTGGTAGAGGACTGGCCTCAGCGAAATAAGCGCTCCCTGCTGTGCAGGTGGAGCTCCTTGGACCATATGCTTGGATCTGCCCCTCTGCATGAAGTACAGAACCTTCAGGAAGCTGTGCGGACTTGTTCTCTGTGTGACAGAATACAAGATGGAGACGGGCACCTCAAGGATCTTCCTAACAGCATGAAGTCTCAGATTTCTGGGAAGTCCTCAGATAGTAACCTAGTTAAGACTTTACGGGAAAAGTTCCAGAGCTTAAGTGCAAGTTAAACAAAGGTGTAAATCCAACATAAACCTGGAAGTTACATGATGCTGTTAATATTCTGCAGATCTCTCCTTAAAAATTGGGGATTCTTATATAGGGGACAAGGTGCAATAATCTGGGCACCAGTGTAAAATAATAGGGATGGAATGAGCAGGCTGTCTTGAATTTGTCTGCATGTTACAGTCTTGTGTTAACAGTCATTTAGTTCCCTACAAAAAAAAAGCAACACTTCTTTTAAATTCCCTGAATTTGGCTGCTATACTCCTTATTGACTGTGTAAACTGTAAAGCTAGCATTCCTGGAAGCGATTGGGAATAGCACTTCCAAATGTCAGACACCAAAGATGGTTACATACATGTTAGCCTTTGTTGTGCTTTTTTGCAGAAGTACAGCAAAAAAAAAAAAAAAAAAGCTTCCATATTTTCCTGGGCTGCTTGTAAAACAGATTGTGCACATCACTGGAGCTTTATTTTTTATCAGCAAGCTGTCTATTTTCATGAACATTATTTATATATCTGTATAGTGGGATGGTTTTGACCATGTGTAAATGCCTCTTTTTGCCTCTTTTTGGTTATGCACAGGTTCCTATATTTTCAATAAAAACAGAAATGCTCAGCCTGCCGTTGTATATTCATTTGTCAATAAAAGACAAAATGGGTGTGAACTGTGCTAGATTTAAGAAAAGAATAGAATAGACAATG